CCGCTGCGCACCGCAAAACACTACCGATGCCCGCTCCCTCCCTACCACCTTCCTGCTTCCGCTCTTGCACTGTCTTTTCCTTGGTGCCGCTCGGGGCACCCTGCCCAGGCCCTGCCCGCCATCCAACTGTATGACCATCCCCCCAGCTCCTTTCCTCTCCCAGCCTCGCTCCTAGCTCCGCCTGTGCGCTGCTTGCTGCTGCGCAACCACCACGACATGCCATCTTTTGTAACACGGACCAAGGGGAGGGGGGGTGGCCACGTCTCTTCGTCGCGGCGGGCGGCGGCACGCTAGGGCTGCTGTGCCACTTGCATCTTGCGCATCCCTCGCTCATCCCCGCCCAGTGGATTGTCAACACAACATCTGCACTCAGGCGCCGAGAGGTTGGCAACGGGTGCGCCACCAGGCAGCAACCAGCGAGTTGTTGCCTGGTTGGGGAGCTCACTCGTGAGAACCCGCGTAATCTGTGGGCCCATCCACTTGTTGTGCGCTGCCCACCTGCAGGCGCGCTCACAGCCCCGCCCTCCCGCTTGCCCGCCCACCCCGCCCGCTGCGTGGGACTTTCAAGCCCCCCCCCCCCCCCCCCCCCCCCCCCCAAATGACGTCACAGCTGAGGGGAGCAGCCAGTCGGGACCAACCCCGTCTCCGCACATCTGAGTTGGCAGCAAGCAGCAATGTCCCAGCTCTGTTGAGGCGCCTGTGCAGCGGCGGCAGGCTCAACGCGATCGGCGCAGCTAGGACGCTGGCGGCCCTCTCTTCCAGCGCGGACAATAGGCCTGCCATTGTCGCGGCGGGTGGCATCCCGGCGCTGGCGCACTGTCTGGGCAGCAGCCGAAGCAGCGATGCTTTGCTGGAGGCAGCGGCCACGGCTCTGTGCAACATTGCTCTCGAGGGGGCCGACGCGGGGGCAGCCATCGCCATCCCAGCCCTGGTGCAGCACCTGAGCAGCAGCAGCAGCAGCAGCGAGGCAGTGCAGGCAGGAGCGGCAAAGGCGCTTGCCCGCCTCTGCCATGCTAGGCCGGGCGCCGGGTCAGCCATTACAGCGGCTGGAGCCATCCCTGTCCTGGTGCAACGCCTTTGCGACAGCAGCAGCAGCGATGAGGTGCAGCTCCATGCAGCCGGTTCGCTTTGGAATCTGTCTGATGGCAGCCCTGACAGAAAGGCAGCCATTGCAGCAGCAGGCGGCATCCCAGCGCTCGTGCAGCGCCTGCGCAGCAGCAACTGCGAGGGAGTGCTAAACAATGCATTGGGTGCGCTACATAGCCTCTCTGTCAAAAGCTCTGACAATTGCGCCGCGATCGTCGAGGCTGGTGGCATCCCAGTCCTGGTGCAACGCCTGGGCAGCAGCAGCAGCAGCGAGGCAACGCAGCAGCACGCAGCCGGTGCACTTTGGGCTCTGTCTAGTGGCAGCCCTGACCGGAAGGCAGCCATTGCAGCAGCAGGCGGCATCCTGGCCCTGGTGCAGCACCTGCGCAGCAGCAGCAGCGAGGAAGTGCTAAACAATGCATTGGGTGCGCTTCATAGCCTCTCCATCAAAAGCTCTGACAATTGCACCACCATTGTGGAGGCCAGTGGCATCCCAGTCCTGGTGCAATGCCTGGCCAGCAGCAGCAGCAGTGAGGCAACGCAGCAGCACGCAGCCGGTGCGCTTTGGAATCTGTCTGATGGCAGCCCTGACAGACAGGCAGCCATTGCAGCAGCAGGCGGCATCCCAGCGCTCGTGCAGCGCCTGCGCAGCAGCAACTGCGAGGAAGTGCTAAACAATGCATTGGGTGCGCTTCATAGCCTCTCTGTCAAAAGCTCTGACAGTTGCGCTGCAATCGTCGAGGCTGGTGGCATCCTAGTCCTGGTGCAACGCCTGGGCAGCAGCAGCAGCAGCGAGGCAATGCAGCAGCGCACAGCCTATGCACTTTGGAATCTGTCTGATGGCAGCCCTGACTGCAGGGCAGCCATTGCCGCAGCAGGAGGCATCCCAGCCCTGGTGCAGCGCCTGCGCAGCAGCAGCAGCGATGCGGTGCTGGAGCAAGTAGCCGCGGCGCTTGGGAGCCTTGGTGAGGACATGCCGGCCAACAAGGATGCCATTGCAGCTGCTGGCTGCATCCCTGATCTGGTGCAGCACCTGCGCAGCAGTGCCAGCGAGATGGTTCAGTACAAAGTAGCTGCTTTACTGCACTCATTAGCAAATGGCAGCCCCAGCAGCAGCGCAGCCATCGCAGCAGCGGGCGGCATCCTTGTCTTGCAGCAGCTGCACAGCAGCAGCCCAAACACGGATGTGCAGTCGGTTGCAGCAGCTGCACTGCAAAACCTGTCCAACTGTGGGCAGCTGGTGACAGAGGCAGCAAGTCACATCGCGGCAGCAGACGCCGCGCCCGCACCAGGTGCGACGGCAGTGGTTGCAGCAGATGCAACAGCAACTGCTGCCCCTAAGGCGTCAGCAGCTGGTGCCAGGGTGTGCGCAGCAGAGGGTTGTGGCAACACGCACAGCCTGCGGAAATGTAGCAGGTGAGCTGTGCCCTGGGCTGGAGCGGCAGAGAGGCTTTCATGCAGCTCTGAGGGTGCCTCTGGGATTCGTCGCTGGCTGCTTGCTGCCTGGAATCATGAGCTGCTCCACCTGCGTCCTACCTTCAGGTGCCGGTCTGTCAGGTACTGCAGCGAGACCTGCTCCCACGCGCACTGGCGGGCCCACAAGGCAGAGTGCAAGCACCTGAGTGCCGCTGCGGCCCAGAGCTTTGGGCCTTGATCCCGCCACTGCAGTTGGCAGACGAAGTTTGCTTTTCTCCAAGTGTTGTTTTTATTCTGTGTTGTTTTTATTCTGTCTTTGCTGCTGTAGAGTAATTAGTCTTGCATGAGTGTAGAGTAACTGATGATCCTGCATGGCTGCAAGGCTAGCCTGGCACTAGGAGTCGGATGCAGGCGGGCTTGTATTGCGCAGGCAGGCAGCTGGCCGCAGGTCTACGCAAGAGGCGCAGTGCTGACAGTGAATTCGTCACATCAGCCTGTTGCTGGCATCGCCTTTCACTCGTTGGCTGATGTGATTCACGCTCAGAGACAAACACACGGGGTCTGTCCCGCGACTCGGGCGGCGGCGGCATGCTGCGCCGTGCTGTGGGCGGGGCTGTCCACCTGCAAACTGTGTCTCTGGGGAGACAAGTGGCTTCTACCTCATACTTGTCCTGTTGCACGCTTTCTGCTGGCGCCCCTGAGCCCGCAGCCTGTTTTCAAAGTGGACTTGATGTCCTAAACGCCCGCGATGCAGCCCAAAGCTGCGGTGCGATCCAGCTGGAACGATCCAGAGCCTGTGTTTGTGTTCCAGGGCTCCCCGCCGCACAGCGACGCAACCTCCGCGGAGCGGCAGGCGCCCCCTGCAGCCCCTCCAGGGCGCCATGCTCGACAGGGAGGCAGCCGGCCGGCGCTGAGGGTGCGGAGGCCGGGCAGCGTCCCGGCCCCAGCCACCGCCGCTGCGGAAGCGCCACCGCTGCCGGCGCAGCCGCCAGCCCAGCCAGCGCCCCCGGCACAGGCGCCTGCGGCCGTGCCCTTTGCATTTGGCACACCAGGTGGGTCGGCGGGGGAGCTTGGCTGCGGATGGTAGGCTGCCCTTCCAACCACCCAGTCGTGGAGCGTGACACGCAGCCGCTCCGACTGGCCTGTTGCATTGAGCCCCTGGCGGGGATCCTAAATGCTGCACTCAATGCCGTGCCCCGGTGCAGGCGCCGGCGCCAGTGGCAGCGCGGCAAAGGTCCGGCGCGCCAGGGCGCGCACGCCGGCCGCCGCCGCCGCCGCAGCGGCCGCACCCAGCCCCGCCTTCACCACCGGCAGCAGCGCCAGCATGGCCTGGAGCCCCTACCCCGCCTCCTCATCGGCAGGTGGGTCGGCAGGGGCGGAGAGGGTTTCCAGACATTGCCAATCCAACTGCACCTGGAGAGAAATACCAAGGCTGCCAGGCACGGAAGCTGGGACGCCTCCCTTCTCCTCGTCCCGCCCAATGCTGCGTGCCACCCTCTGTACCCGATCCCCTCCCCGCAGATGCCTCCACCGCCTTTGGCGGCGCCACAACCCCCGAGGTGCCCGGGTCTGCCACCCCCACATCAGGCCACGCACCGCCATCCGCGGAGCAGACGGCGACGCCCAGCCCGGGGCCAGCCTCAGTGGCAGAAGATCTTCGCTCCAGGCTGAGCCTGGGCGGCACTGACAGCGGTGCTAGCAGCTCAGGCGGCGAGCAGGGGCTGAGCGAGGCGCTGCGCCAGCAGCTGAACCTGGGGGTGCAGCAGGCGGCGGTGCCAGCCGCTGCGGCTGCCCAGCCCCAGCCGGCGCCATCGGCAGACCCGCAGTCCGCCCGGAGCGGCTTCAGCTTCATCTTTGGCGCGGCGGCGGCGGCTGCAGCAGCGGCTTTCAGCCCACGGGCCGGCAGGGCAATCCGAAAGAAGTCGCCAACCACCAGCCCTGGCGCGGCGCGAACCCCGGCGGCAGCATCCTCTGCTGGTGCTGCAGCAGCGGCAGCGCCCGGCATGCAGGCTCAGGCGGCGCCGGGAGCAGCATCCTTCCCATCGGCAGCAGACTGTGAGGCCACCTCGGCAGCGCGCCCCGCGCCAGGAGCGGAGCCAGCAGCAGGTGGAGGGAGCGCACCAGTGGTGGCGGCGCCGCCCGCTGGAAGCTTTGCGTTTGGTGCCAGCAGCGGCAGCAGCGGCACCCCTGCTGCGGGGCGCGCTCGGCCCCGCTCCCGCCACAAGCAACGGTCTCCGTCACAGGCGTCCCCGGTTGCGGCGGCGACACCTGGTGCTGCAGCGTCCCCGGTTCACAGCGGCAGCACGGCAGGCACAGCCACCGGGCCGGAGCCACTGCGTGAGAACCAGCAGCAGCAGCAGCAGCAGCACATGGCCTGGGCAGCGCGCATGGCAGAGGCTGGGAAGCCGACGGCCGGCGCAGCCGCCACCAGCCCTTCCTTCTCGGCTTCAGGCGCGGCTGCCCGGCGGCCTCCCAGGCGCAAGGTGGTGCACCCCACGCGCGTCAGCCCAGGTGGCAAAGCAGCTGCATCAAAGCAGCCGGCAGGACAGGCCACGGCTGCGGCGCCAGCGGCAGCGCCCGCTGCGTCCTTCCCGCCGGCATCGCCGCCCCCCGCGGCCGTGCCGGCCAGCCCCCGGCAGCCTGGCGCGGCCTGGGATGCCGCCACCCAGGCAGCGTACAGCAGCAGTGAGATGTACCGTAGCCAGGTGAGGAATTCGGAGCAGTACAGGCAGCGGGCTTGGCCCCTTGCTCGCCGCTCTCGGCTGCGCAGCACTAGGCGTGACGGCCCACCCCAGGCTTTGCTCCTGCCGGCTGGCAAGGCACTCATTCCATGGGTCATGCATGTTTTGCTGCAGGGCAATGAGGCGTTCCGAGATGGCGACTACAATGCTGCTTACGATCTGTACACCAAGGTACTTGGTGGGGGAAGGGTGCTGGTGGGCTATGGGGCAAGGAGTGTGGGGTGAGGCCCTGCCGCTTTGGGCTGGGGGGCCTGGCCTGGCAGCGCCACACGCTGTGTGCTGTGCTCATCCCAACTTGGTGCCTGCCGCGTGCGCCCTGCTGCAGGCGCTGCACGCGCTGTGGCCGCACCCGCCGCTGCACGCGCGCCTGGCGCTGCTGCTGTCCAACCGGGCCGCAGCGCTGCTGTCGCAGGGCAAGCCCCTCAGGTGTGGGCTGCTTCTGTGCAGCCGCGTGTCCATCCAGCATGCGGAGCCGTCCCACCAGCCTGCCTGATCCCTGATCCCATGCGTGCTGCTCACCGTCGCGGGGCATGCACCCAAGCCTGCACTTGCGCCGCTGTCCTGCAGCGCCCTGGCGGACTGCCAGATGGGGCTCAAGTACGACCCGGGCCTCATGCGCTGCGCGCTGCGGGTGGCCACCTGCCACGCGCGCTGCGGCGACTTTGACCAGGCCTTTGCCTGCGTGGCGGCGCTGCACGAGGGCGCGCAGGGCGACGCGGAGCGGCTGGCCGAGGTGGCCGCCAAGAGGAAAGACCTGGCGGAGCAGGAGCGGCAGGTGAGAGTGAGGGAGTGTTGTGTGTGTGTGTGTGCGCGCGCATGTGGCATGCTGCTGTGGCGGTGGTGTGTGTGTGTGATGTCGGTGTGTCGGGCGTGCCAGCTGGCGCGAGCAGTGACGCTTGTGCCGAGCGGTGGATCACATCCTCGACAATTCATCCCCTGCCTTCCGCCCCAAACACATCACCACCCCTGCCTCCCCCTCTCCCCACACAGATGTACGACGCGCTGCGCTCCCTGGGTCACTCCCTCCTGGCCCCGCAGCGTGACCCCTCCACAGGGGCCGTCCTGCAGCGCAGCGCCAGCGCCGGCACGGGCCTGTCCCGGGCCAGCAGCAGCAGCAGCGCCGCGGCGGCCGCGCCCGCCAACGCCGAGGCCTTCTGGGATGCGCTGAAAAAGGTGCTGCGTGCGTTTGTGCCGGCCCACTCGAGCAGGCCCTGCAAAGCTGCTGCGGCAGGCAGGACAGGCACAGCTGCTGGCCTTGGTTGTGGCTGAACCTCCCCCGGTCCCTTCCTCCCTCCCTCCCTCCCTCCCATGTGGCAGGTGGATGATGTGGCGCCGCATGTGCCCCACTCTGAGCTGCTGCTGGCGGCAAAGGCGGAGGGGCTTCTGCGGCTGGGCAGGTGGGAGGAGCGCGTGGCGGCCACAGGCTGGCGGCCATGCATTCCCATGCAGCCATCAGCGCAATCCCGCGGAGAGGGATTAGAGAGGCTCTTGTGGATGTTCAGCCTGCCCCTGTGCAGCCCTGGACTGCTACCTGCGCCTGCAGACAGCGCCCCTTGCTTATTCTCGTATGATGGATGCTTGCTTGCTGTGCAGGCTGGAGAAGGCTCGCGAGTTTTGTGAGCAGCCGCTGCACATGGACGACGGCCCGCACCAGGAGGAGCAGAACGGCGCGCCCTGGCGGCTCTGGGTGCAGGTGCAGTGCTCCTGGCAGGAGGGCGACACGGGGGGCGGCCTGAAGCAGCAGCTGGAGCGCCTGCTGACCAGCCTAGAGCGGCAGGCCGCGGCGCAGGGTAGCAGCAGCGGGGCGGCAGCCGCGGCAGGGGCCGCAGCAGCGTCGGCTGCCACCAGCGCCTTCTTCCCTGCCCCCACCTCTTCGGCCGAGCAGCCTGCCAGCAAGCAGGAGCAGCGGCGGCGAGAGCAGCTGGCTGGGCTGGTGGGCCTGCCCAGCGCAGCAGACGTCAAGGCGCTGCTGGAGGGGCTGGAGGCGGCGGACGGGCTGCGCCTGGCTGGCAACGCAGCGGTCAAGGCGGGCAAGGCTGCCGAGGCGGTACAGAAGTACAGCGAGGCGCTGGCAGGTGCGCTGGGGGTGGGGGCATCATAATTGTGATGGAGAGGGTGGGAGAGGGTGCACCCTGTGCGGCTGACCAGTTGTGTTTGCTTGTCTGTGCTGAGTGGCTAAGCACATGCATGTGCTTGCCTGGCGCGTCCACGGCTGCAGACCGCCTCCCCTCCCTCTGCCTGCTCCTTCTGCCTGCAGTCGGCTGCCTGTCCCCCACCATCGCCGCCGTGCTGCTGTCCAACCGCGCCGCCGCACACCAACACCTCAAGCAGCGAGCGCAGGTGCCCGCCCACCTCCCGCCGCCGCCGCTGCCCTCCCCCACGCCCTGCCTGCATCCCTACCTGTCGCCGCCTGCTGCTTCACCGTCTGACATACCAACTGAGTTGTCCTGCCGACTTGCCAGCCCGATGGGTTGTCCTGCCTTCACGCCAGCCCCACACCACCCACCTGCCCCACCGTCGCCACCCCTGCTTGCTGCCTGCCGCAGGCCGTGGCCGACTGCAGCCGCGCCGTGGCCCTCAACCCTCACTACGCCAAGGCCAACTCCCGCCTGGCCACGCTGCTGGCGGAGCTGGGATACCACGACGATGCCGCCGCCGCGCTGGAGGCGGCCGCAGCAGCCAAGGGGGTGAGCCAGCGGCGGGGCAGGCGACTGATTTACTCGCTCTGGCTGCCCTCCTCACACTTGTTTCTTCAAACACTGCCCTTGCTCTGCTTCCTTTCTTTGTTCATTGCCCTCCTCCCCGCCTCGTCTCCGGACCTCGTCCTCTGCCTCGGCGCCTCCGCCTATTCCTCACAACGCCCCACCACCGCCCGCCCAGCAGGTGTCCAGCGGCGACAAGCGCGAGTACCAGCAGCGGCTGGCGACGGAGAAGGCGGCTGCGCGGCGCGCCGCCTCGCGCTCCGGCCGCCTCTCCACCCAGCCCGCCCTCGACCACTACAAGCTGCTGGGACTGGAGCGCAGCGTGGCCACAGAGGAGGTGGGTGGGGTGCCCTTGCTGCGGCGGAAGTGCTGTGCGGGTGCTTGTGCATGGGGCCTTCCTTGGTGTGGCAAAGTCACACGGCCGCGTCGTGTTCGAGGGAGGGTGGAAGGTGGAGGAGCCCAGCGGCTGCTGTCCCGCCTGCCTGCCGACCAGCCTGACCATTGCCACTCTCTCCTGGCCTGCTTGCCTGCCTGCCTGCCCGCCTTGCCTGCAGGTGCGGCGCTCCTACAAGAAGCTGGCCCTGCAGCTGCACCCCGACAAGGCGGCCACCGTCTGCCGCGTGGTGCAGCGCTGCTGCGGCTGCGGCTCGCTGGCGTTTGAGTCGGCGGCGGCGCCGGGGCGCCTGCAGGAGCGCGCCACCTGGCTCTTCAAGCTGCTGGGTGCGCCCGCCTGCCCGCCTGCCGGCGCCTGCCCTGCTTTGCTAGGCCTGCCGCGCCCCTGTGCCGCTCTTGCCGCACCTTTTCACCTCCATGACATCTCCGCTGCCGCTCATCCACCCTCCCGTCCGTCTGCCGCATCCCTCCCGCCTGCGCCACCTGCAGGCGAGGCCAGCGAGGTGCTGTCCGATCCCGGCAAGCGCCGCGACCTGGATCACAGCCTGTCCATGTTTGGCGGCGCCGCCTCCAGCCACCCCTACGGCGCCGGCGGCTTTGGCTCCTACAGCTCTTTCTACCAGGACGACGATGATGACGAGCAGCTCTTCTCCTCCTACTTTGGCGGCGTGTTTGGCAGGCGCTATGCGCCTGGCTACGGCCCCTCCGGCGCCCCCTACGGCGGCTTTGCCAGCGGCAGCACGGGGCCGCGCCCGTACGGCGGCTTTGGCGGCTATACCCGCAAGTGGAACATGTGAGAGGCGAGCGGCCCTGCCGGCTTCAGCGGCAGCGAACAGAGAAGGCATTTTATCAGCAGGCCATTAGAATCACACATAGAGCAGTGGACAGATCGCTGGGCAGGGTGCGGGCCTGTCGGCCCTCGCCCCACCAGTCGGCCCCGTAGCACGTCGGTAGCGGCGCAGTACTCTTTTGCTTTCTACCCCTTAATTTCACTCTGATGATTCCTCCTGTACATGTTTCCTTCTCCATCTGCTCGATTCTACCTCCTGCAACACACGAGAGCCATGCAACCGCCCGCCGCCACCGGTGCCAAGTCAGCGGCGCAATGTTGGAGAGGCACGGGCTGCTTGGGCCCATCCCGGCTGCACTCTGCCACTTACTTGATCATCGACATTGCACAATCAGAGCCCGCCTGGCCTTCTGCAGCATCGATCACTCGATGGCGGAACCCCTCGTCGACGAAGAGATGCTGGACGCAATTGGTGAGCTGTGGCATGCATCTGTAGTCTGTGTGCGATCGGGAGGGGGCCGGGGTACTTCCGTCAGGTTTGAACTCGTGTGGGGCCCCTCCTCAAGCCGCACGGCTTCCCTCCCCTGTCGGCAATCACACGCTGCACCTGGGACCCTCCAGGCAGCCGCAGGCGCGGCGCCGACTCGCTCTGTGTCGCCGCCTGCCCGCTGCCGCTGCAGGCGGCGCGCCGGCCGACGTCTCGGGCCAGCACATGCAGCTGGATGCGGCAGTGGAGAGCGCGCTCAACGTGCTGCCCTCCAACACCGACGCCTCCTCCTCCTTCAGCCTGTACGGCCTGCTCAACAAGGCCCACACGCCCATGGGCAAGGCGCTACTGAAGGTGGGTGCTCATCCCCTGGCCGCGGATGCCGGGTGGAACCGCCGTGCTCCCTCCAACACATGCGACGGCAGGGAGGCAGGCGCAGGCTGATCTCGCCTCGTCCTCTTCCGCCTCGTCCCCCTGCACGCATGCTCGCTTGCCTCTGACCCCCCTGGCGTTTCCCACCGGCGCACGTCTCCTCTCCTCTGCCGTCTGGTTCCCCGCAGGCCTGGCTGAAGCAGCCGCTGACAGATGTGGCGGCCATCCAGGGGCGGCACGACGTGGTGGAGGCGATGCTAGGGGACGCCCAGCTGCGCTCCGACCTGCGCGGCCTGCACCTGCGGGGTGAGGGCGGCCGCCTGCCCGCCAGCTGCCTGGCTAGCTGGCTCAACGTGCGCCGCAGCAGGCCGGCGGCAGGGCAGAGCGGGCTCGGCGAGGAAAGCGGCTCAGGCCGCGCTGCTGTCCAGCAGGGTGCCACGCTCGGCGGCGTGCAGCAGCCCGAGCAACCATGCAGCTGTGCCGCGCCGCACGGGTGTGCCCAGTGCCAGCCACCTCAGCCATCCTGCCCCTGCGCCTGCTCCCCCATGCCCGCCCACGCTCTACACCTCTCATCCTCCCACGCCTGCTGCCGCATCCCTCCTGCCCCCGCCAGGCCTGCCCGACCTGGACAAGCTGTGCCGCAAGCTGGAGGCTGAGCGCATCTCGCTTCAGGAGCTGTGCCAGCTGTACCGCGCCAGCGCCAAGCTGCCGCAGCTGGAGCAGGCGGTGCTGGCGCACGAGGGGCCCCACGCGCAGCTGCTGGCCGACAGGTGCGCAGGCTTGGCGCCCGGCGGTTGGCTGGGGGCACGGCGCGGCGACTCCCTGCACTGCCTGCTCCTCAGATGCCGTCCGGCCGCCTGCCCGGCCGTGGCCTGCTGTGCCCAGGTCATTGTTGACGCAAAGCAGCGCCCCACGGCAGCTTATCTTGCGCCGTCCGGCTGCAACTCGCCCCACCGCCTCCACCCACCGCGCCCGCCCGCCTCCCCGCCGCCGCAGGTTTGCGGGCCCGCTGGGCGAGGCGCACGCGGCGGAGCGGCTGGGCAGGTTTGAGGAGCTGCTGGAGGCGGCTGTGGACATGGCGCGCGTGCCAGACGAGTACCTTATCTCGCCCACATACGACCAGGTGGGGGGTGGGGCGGGGTGGGGCGTGAGTGTGTGGGTTGGTTGAGGTGGTGCATGAGTGTGTGTGAGGGGTTGAGGTGGTGCTTGAGTGTACGTGGAGGGTTTGGGGTGGTGCAGGAGTGATGTGTGTGTGGCTGTCTAGGACAGCAGGTATGGGTCGGGGTAGAGACGTGGCCGGTTTGATGGGGTGTGCAGCGGTGCGCCCTGCCTGCCAGGCCAGCGTGTGTCAGGACTACGGCCTTGTGTGGTGGCGCCTCGTGGTCGGCCCTGCCCGGCTGCCTGACCTGCCTTCCCGCCGCCGCTGCCGCCCGACCCGTCGCCTGCAGGGCCTGGCGGACATCGATGGGGAGCGGGGGGAGGTGGAGGCGCAGGTACAGGAGTGCGCCGAGGCGGCGGCCAGGGACCTGGGCCTGCAGCTGGACAAGACGCTCAAGTGAGGGGCTTGCGTGTGGCAAGTGAGGGGCGCTCCCATGTGGCTGTGTCGGCGGCGGTGGTGGTGGTGGAGATGGTGCGTGTGCTCTTTGTGCATGATGCGTGTCGGCGGCGGTGGCGGCGGCGGTGGCGGCGGTGTGTGTGTGCTTTGTGCATGTTTCGGTGGCAATATGCTAGGCTGGGGGTTGGGTGCGTCGGCCGGGTGTTGCAGGGAAGGGAGGGCGACACGCAGCTGCTGGCTGCCTTGCCTGCTCGCCGCCAGGCTGGCCACCCCGCCCCGCCCCGCCCCCGCCTTGCCCGCGCCCCGCAGGCTGGACTGGCACAAGGCGGGCAACCAGCGGCTGCGCTGCCTGCGCATCACCGCCAAGGAGGAGAAGAATGTGCGGGGGAAGCTGCAGGCGCGGTACCAGGAGCTGGAGGTGAAGAAGGACGGCATGAAGTTTGTGAACAAGGCGCTCAAGGCGGCGGCGCAGCGCCTGCAGCAGCTGTCGGCCGACTACGAGCGGCGGCAGGCCGAGCTGCTGGCGCAGGTGCGCTGCCTGCCTGCCTTGTCTTTGGGGCGTGTTCCATGGGTGGATGGTGATGGTGGTGGTGATGGTGGCGGCGGCGGTGGTGGTGGTGGTGGTGGTGGGGCAGCCGCGGAGAGTGCCGACTCGCGCGAACTGGGGCCGAGGCTGGACTGTTGCCACTGGAGGAGCATAGAGCTGCCAGGGGCGGCTCCTACTCTCCCAGCTGCCACAACCTCCAGCCCGCCACCCACATTACGTCGCTGTGCGCCGCAGGTGGTGGGCGTGGCGGCCTCGTTTGTGGGCGTGTGGCGCCTCGTCAGCGCCACCCTGGCGGAGCTCGACCTCCTGGCCGCCTTTGGCGAGGTGGCGGCAGCCGCGCCCGCATCCTACGTGCGCCCCACCATGCTGCCCAGCGAAGGTGCGCCGCGTGGTGCCTGCGCGCCGCTGCGCTGTGCTGCACCAGCCCTGGTGCCAGGTCATGATGCGGCCAGCCTGCCTGGTCGGTGGTGGCTGGCCGGTCTGCACCTAACTGCCGCTGTGCTGCGCTGTGCTGCGTGTGCTGCTCCTTGCCTGCGCTGCAGAGGGGGAGATCAGCCTGCGGGGCTGCCGCCACCCGTGCCTGGAGGTGCAGGAGGGCGTGGACTTCATACCCAATGACTGCCTGATGCGCACAGGCCAGGTGGGCTGGCGGCTGCCTGCACCTATATGTGGGGCCACTGGGGCCAGCTCCTCCTCTGGCCAGCATCCGGGGCCTGCCCTGCCCTGCTGGCACCCCGCTCACGCGCCTCAGTGCTGCGCCAATGGAGAGGGCCGCTTGCTGCACCGCAGTCCTGTCGTGCTCATGGGTGCCTGTTGTACCGCTGGTGTACCGCAGTCCTGGTTCCACATCATCACCGGCCCCAACATGGGCGGCAAGTCGACCTTCATCCGCCAGGTCGGGCTGGCGGTCCTGATGGCGCAGATCGGCAGGTGAGGGCCCGCGCCCGGCATGGCTTCATGCATGCAGAGGGAGATGCCATGGGGAGGGGCCGCCTTGGAACGATGGACTTGGCAGGATGGGTGGTGCCTACGCAGCCGCAGCGCCCAACCACACCTACCTCCTACCACGCCCGCTCACCTTTCCACCGACACACACTTCCTTTCCCCACCACCCATCCATCCGACCACCTGCCCCCCCGCAGCTTTGTGCCCGCCGACTCGGCACGCATCTCGGTGCGTGACGCCATCTTTGCGCGCGTGGGCGCGGGCGACTGCCAGCAGCGCGGCCTGTCCACCTTCATGGCGGAGATGCTGGAGACGGCGGCCATCCTGAAGGTACCGCCCATGCTGTACTGTACCGCTTGTACCACCGCCACGCAGCAGCGCACGGGCCAGTGCAGCAGGCTGCTCTGCAGCAGCCTGCCCTGCCCTGCCCTGCCCTGCCCCTGATGTTGCGTGCGCTGCCGACTCGTACCGCCTGCCTGTACCGTACTGCGTGTACTGCTGTACTGCAGGGCGCCACCTCCAGCTCCCTGGTCATCATCGATGAGCTGGGCCGAGGCACCTCCACCTGGTGAGCCTCAGGCCCTCTGCAGGAGTCATGCTGCTGTGCAGCCGGCGGCATTCACTTCCTGTGGGGGCTGTGGTGCGGTTGGTGGTGCCGCGCGTGTGGCCCAACGGAAGGCCGAGGGTTTAGTCAGCCGTCGGCTGCCTGGCACCCACCCCCAGCCGCATGCCACACCACGGCCCTGCCTTCAGGGCGGCACCCCGTGCCTGCTCGGCTCCCCCAGCGGCGCATGCTGCCCCAGCGGTGCATGCTCCTCTCACCCGCCGCCGCTGCCGCCGCCGCCGCCTCCGCCGCCGCTGCGCCCGCAGGGAGGGCATGGGCCTGGCCTGGGCCATCAGCGAGCACCTGTGCACCCAGGTCGGCTGCGCCACGCTGTTTGCCACACACTTCCACGACCTGGCGGCGCTGCAGAGCGCGCTGCCGGGGGCGGGCGTGGCCAACCTGCACGTCAAGGCGGCAGAGAGCGACAGCGGGCTGACGATGCTGTACCAGGTGGGGTCCGGTGGTGGGGTGGGGCAGGGAAGGGCAGGGAGGGCAGGAGGCCAGTGGACGTGGAAGGGCTGGCCGCCGGTGGCTGCAGCCGCGCAGCGTCTGGGAGCCCGACGCCTGCCGGCGCCGCGCTGCTGGGCCCCGCCTTGCGCCCGACTAGCCACCCGCGCCCGCCCAACCCACCCCTGGCTGCCGCAGGTGCACGAGGGCGCCAGCGCGCAGTCCTACGGACTGGCAGTGGCCCGCTTTGCCCGGCTGCCGCCAGAGGTGATCGAGGCCGCGGCCGCACGCCTGGCGGAGCTAGAGCCCGCGCCAGCTGGCGCCGCCGCCACGGAGCAGGGCGGCGAGGAGCAGCAGGCGCGGGAGCTGCTGGCCAAGTTTGCGCAGCTGCCACTGGAGCAGGGGATGCAGCCGGAGCAGCTGGCGGCGGTGCTGCAGCAGCATGCCATCGAGCTGTGCCAGTGAGAACCTGTGCCTGCACCTGTATCTAGCCTTGCCCTTCGTTACACAGCTTCTGAACAGGAGGCCTGCGGTACCAAATCAGCTCACACGTCCTCATCCTCATCCTCATCCTCGCCATCGCTGTCGTAACTGGGGAGCAGCATGGGCAGGGGCATGTGGCGGCACGGCAGCAGCAGCAGCCCTGGGCACAGGCGCTGGGCGTCCACGATTGCCGCGCACGCGCCCATGGGCAGGGATGGCCCTGCCACGGCGACGACCTTCAGGCTGGGGAGCTGCACTGCCCAGTGCATGATGCGAGCCAAGCCCCTGCCGTCGTGGTCGTCACGGTCGGCGGATGCGACCCCGAGCACGCACAGGTGGGGAGCCCGCAGCGCCTGCACGCCGCCGGCGATCCAGGCGCACGGCGCCACCAGTCGCCGCAGGCCCTTCGTCCAGGCGCCGGCGGGCATCGCGGCGTCCTCGCGGCTGCGCCACGACAGGCCCAGGCTGCGCAGCGTGCGCAGCGTGGGCAGCGCCTCTGGCGGCCGCGGCGCCTGGGTCAGCTCCAGGAAGGTCAGCTGGCCCAGGCACGGCAGCGCCTCCTCCACATACTCCACATCCTCCTCCTCCACCTCAAAGTCTATGTCTTCGCCGTCGTCCCTGACGATCAGCGCCCGCAGGGAGGTGAGCCAGGGGAGGCAGCTGGGCACGCGGCAACGCACGACCTCTAGCCGCCGCAGGCTGGCCAGGCGCGCCAGGGCCTCCAACGCGTCTGCCTCATGCGCGCAGCCAGACAGCGTGAGGCTGCGCAGGCTGGCGAGGGCGTGCACCTGCCAGGCAGCAGCGCACACCACGCGCTGGGCAAATGCATGCATGCTTTGCAGTGGAAAGAAGCAGCTCGTGGTCAAAAGGCGGGCACGCCCACGCTCCTCTCCACAAGCGCTGCCCACCTGCTGCGTCAGCACGCCAGGGCGGGTGCCGCCCAGCCTCAGGCTAGTCAGGGAGCTGGGCAGCCCGGCGCCGGGCTGCAGGCGGATGCGGCCGCCCAGCAGCTCCAGCTGGTCCAGCGCCGTCAGGTGGTGCAGCGCCCAAACGGGCGTGTCCCGTGCTTCTGACATCAGAGTGAGGTGCAGGCGCCGCAGGCTGTGCAGCGGCGCCACCCAGGCGCCGGCGCTGTGCACCAGGTTGGTCATGAGCCGCAGCTCTGCCAGGCTGCCGCACGCGGCCAGCGCAGATTCCAGCGCCTGCTCAGCTTCGGCCTGCTGCTCCTCAGACCACTCTGTCCACGACAAATCACAGAGCGCCAGGTCCAGATGCTGCACGTGTGCCGCGGCCCGCGACACAAGCCATGCACACAGCGACCGCAGCCATTGCAGGATGTGGCCGTCCCTCAAACGGTGGGTTTTCCACGCTACTTTCACGGCCCTCAGCAGCTCCGGAGCGTTTGCCAGGTGCGCCCAGCGCCGGCACACCAGGGGCAGGGCGCGATGCCTGCAGGCAGGCAGCAGAGCAGTGGCTGATCCGAGCGGAAGGTGGCGGCGGGAGCGACGAGGGCGGTGCGCGCGCCATCCCTCAGCCTTGCCCTCGGCATGCAGGAAGTGGTTGACGGCGCGTCTAATCGCTTCGCAGCACCGCACTGGGTGTAGTGAAGTTAACTCCACAGCGGAGAGGGTATTCACCGCGCTTACCTGTGGACCAGTTCAATGCACTCGAAGATGGACACCAGCACCGCATCGGGAAGGGCGTCGATGGTGGTGGGCTGCATGCTGGCGACGGCAGGGGGCAGGAGAGGAGCAGGGCACGACTCGATCACGATGGCGCTGCAAAACACAACGTGCGCATGTGCCCTAGTAGAGCACTTGGGACAGTGATATAGTGGAGGAACAAGAGGAAGGCCCTGATTGGGTGAATTTCATTTTGCCGCCGCTGCGCACGCTGCCGCCAACCGCCGCCCGCGCTGCGCCGCAACGCCAGAGCTTTACAGGAAGCGTGCGTTGCATGGGCAGTAACAAAACATGCACACATCAAAAGTGAGTCTAACCACATGTGGGCTTGCTGGGGTTAGCGTATGGAGGAAGAGAGGAACCAGTTCGAGAACAAGGCAAAACACTCGGCAAACACATAGGGCACCTGTTCCTATTCGCAGTCGTCGTCAGATTCGCTGCCGTAGTATTCGCTGCCGTAGTATTCGATGCCGTATTCGCTGTCGTAATATTCGTCGTAATCGTCGATCCAAACGTCCTGGCCAATACTGTGCTTGACTTGGAGCTGAGGCAGCCTCGCATGCAGGTCCTGCAGCAGGGCAGGCTCCACTGCGCCCACGCCGTAAGCCTCCAGCAGACGTAGGTGGGGCAGGTGAGCAAACACGGCCGCCGCATCGGCCAGCCTCAGGTGCAGGTCTGCGTTGTGTGAAAGGTTCAGGCTGGTCAGCTCCGTGGCTGCCGCCAGCGCAGCCGGCAGTTTTTCCAGTTCGTTGCTTTCTAATACCAGGGCCTGCAGACCTGCAAGGTCAAAGGGGAATGCTCCACAGTGGTCGCCGGCCTATGAAATCAAAAAATGGAGGGTTCCTTACCAGTGAGATACGGCCCTGCTGGCACGTCGGTCAGCTGATGCCCCGTGAGCGAGAGGCGCCTGAGCGCTGCGCACTGCGTCATGCTGGGCGGTACTGCAACCAGCACGCTGGCAAAGACTTCTCCGTTATTGTTGCACTCCAAGGCAGTGAGATGCGTGGCATGCTGCAGCAGCGCATCAACCGCCTGGGTCAGGCTGTTGCCGGAGACTGAGTTGTCGTTGAGAATGAGCTTGTGCAGCCCTGCCAGGCGGGAGCAGCCAGCAAGCCCTGCCACATCAGATGGCTGTGATCGATTTCAAGACTTCTAAGTGGCTGCTCGGGCCGGAGCAGCGCGCTCAGCAGGAGGGGCAGGGACATCACTCGGTCGGCAAATGGAATTGACATTGTGCGCACTGCTGGCATGAGGCCCAGCCGGACTTGAGCGGCATACCCCGATGACGGGCCAGGGAAGAAGTATTGACAGCCTTTTAGCTGGCTGTCACCCATCTGCAGCCACGAGGCGGAAACAAACGACAATGTCTGGCACTTGCATTCTGCCACCACACAAAGTGGGCACCTGCTGCCATTTTGAACTCGCCTGGAAAGAACCAACGATCCGAGCCAGGAAAAAACCCTGCAGCCCAGCCGGGAAGCGTGCAGGAGCCGGCGGCTGAAACACTTCTGCTTCCGGCTTGAAGCCAGCATGCAAGCCCAGATCCTGCAGCTGGGCCAGGCGTGTAAGCTGGTCCATGGCGGCAGGTGGCGGGAAGATATCTGCCCACAGGTCCAACATGGTCAGCTGTGAAAGCGCCAGGATGCTGTTCAGCAGCGCCGGCGGCACGGCAGGGCCACTGAACCGCAGGCTGCGCAGCTCGCCCAGCTGGGCCAGCGAGCGGGGCATCTGTGGCGGCAGCGGCCTGGTGCTGCACAGGCTCAGCTCCGTCAGCTGCGTGAATCTGCCCAGTGACATGGCTGCAGCCTCGGGAATGCGATCCAGGCCCTGCAGCTTCAGCTGCTTGAGCCGGCTGGTCTGCAGGTAGCCCAGAAAAGCCGGCACGCTATTCTCCTCAAATGATGCGGCAGAGTTAATGCCGATCTCTTCCTGCGCCGCAGCGTCCCAGTGTAGGCCCTGCAGGACCGGCGCGACGCGGCGCACCAGTGCCGCCTGCTTCTGCAGCCACACTGGCCACTCCTCCTCCGGGCGCCGATGCAGCTTGCTGAACTTCAGAGTGAAGGTGCGCCACAGGGCGGGCTCCGAATAAAAGACGCGGCGCCAGCGCTTGCAGGTCAGCACCACAGCGGGCCTGCATCAAGGAAAGAGCAGCATTAGGACATGGGGGGGTGGCATGGCGCGGGGCGGTACGTTCACAAGGGCGGGTGCGGTGCCAGGCTCAGCTGCTCACGCCTCCTCGCGACCCGCCAGCGCCAGGATCCTGCCCACCACCGCATCAGGCAGGCGGTCAATGGAGGCCTCCTTCGCTGCTGCGCCTCGTGCCAGCATACGACTCAGGCTGCTGTGAGGCAGAGTGCAGGCGGGCGGGTTGGGCAGCGCGGTGCCGGGGCGCCTTTGCTTGGCGGCGCCTTGGACGGCGCGCAGCCCAGAGCACCGGGCTGCGCCCCCGCCCCCTCACCTGCGATCGGCTTTGGGAAGGCAGAAGACGAGCAAGCGCCTAAGGACTCGAGAAACTGGCCGCCTCGGAGGACCCAAAGCAGAGAACCCAGAGCGGAGGAGTGCTTCACAGGTGAGCAAGACCGATAAGACCAAGCGGGGGCAGTAGGGCGGTGGCGCCGCCCTGAGCGGCCGCTGCTGTGCCTGCTGCCTTGTGCATCCGGCGGCACTTGCTCTCAGCAGGATGCATCACAAAATCAATTGCAGCATACAAAACGTGAGTAACATAACGGGGTAGAATAAATAAACTACAACACTGGGAAAACAACACATGGATACGATGCGGGGTGGCGTGCCCGCCGCCGCCGCCCACGCCGCCGTCACTCGTCGCCGGCGCACAGGAAGTCGTTGAGCACCCGCGCAAACTTGGCGGAGTCCTTCCAGCCGTGGCCCCACCCCTGGAACAGGTGCAGCTGCGCGCCCGGGATGCGCGCCGCCAGGCGCTCCGCGTTCTCGCGCGGCACCAGCACATCCTCGGTGCCGTTGCTGATCAGGCAGGGCACCGCCACCTGCGGCAGCGCGTCCCACACCTGCTCCTCGCCCGCCAGGAACTGCTGGTCGGCCGCGTACTGTAAGAGGGGAGGGGAGGGGAAGGCATGCATGGGAGGGGGAGGAAGGGGGAGGGCAGGGGCGACCCCAGAGGGCAGTCAACCCGACACGAGTACCAGCACTGGCAGCGTGCGGCCGCAGGGGGTGGCCGCTCCACTTCCCCCCAGGCCCTGCCTCGCTGCCACCATCCCAATGCCGCACCAGGCCCGCCACCGGACAGCCGCACCCGCCGCCTCTGCTCGGTGCCTGCCCGCCCTTGCTCCCCGCCCGCCCGTCCCACCTGCTCCCGCGCCGCCTTCTTGGAGGGCTCCGCATCCACAATGGACTTGGGCATGCTGAACACCTCCTTGATGTACTGCCCACAGGTTCGGCGGAAGTCTGCAGGCGGCAGGGCCCGGGGGCCGGGCAGCGGGTAAGGCAGGGCTGGGTGGCATGCGCCTGCGTGCTGCTGTTATTGCTGTTGGTTCTGGCGGTGGTGGGCGAGGCGGTGGACGGCAGCGGGCAGCTGCAGGTCCGGGCGCACGGGTGCGGCGGCGAGCCGGCGAGCGAGGAGGGGGGCGTGCGGCGGGCGGGCAGGCAGGGCAGGCAGGGCGTGCCTACTGGGTCGTTGGGAGGGAAGATGAGGGCCATGGTCTGGCCCAGCGACACGTTCGCATCTGGGTCCAGGAAGCGAAGCGCGGGCGGCGCGACTGCGGGAGGGGGCGGGGCGGGTGCAGAGCCCAGGGGTGGCGGTGACGGAGGGAAGACTGGACGGCGAGGGATGCGCGGGCGGAAGGCACAGGCAGGGCGAATACAAGCGCGCAGGCAGGCAGGCAGGCAGGCAGGCGAGGATTGCTCGCACGCGCAGTGGCCAGCCGCGGCAGGCCGCCTGCGGCGGCCCCCGCGGCCAGCCGAGCCCCCCTCGCTCACTCGTGTTCTTGCCGCCCGCCACCCCCGCGTGCGACACCATCCTGCCCAGCCGCCTGCTGTGCAGGGCGGCCAGCACCAGGCCCACATCGCCGCCAGAGGACCAGCCCACCCAATTGAAGCGAGGGATGTTGAGGGCATCTGCCAGCATCAGCACCGCCTCGGCCTGCGCCAGCGGGATGCAAGGCAGGCGTGCTTGGTGTGCATGTCCACGTGCTGGCGTGCGGGTGGTGCGTGGGCGGCTGAAGCGCGCAGTGACATGCATGCATGCGCGGCCGGACAGGAAAACCTGAAGCGAGAGCAGCACCACACTTTCGGCGCTCGGGCTGGCTGGCGGGCGGGCTAGCTGCTGCCCGCCTGTCCGCCCTGTGCCCACCTGCTTGAAGTAATCCCAGGGGTCGTTGTCGGCAAAGACCTTGGACAGGCCGGCGCCGCGATAGTCCATGATGATGACCTGGCGGTACGGGGAGAGGAGCGTGCGGTACATTATGGCACATGGGCGGTACGGATGCGGCAAGGTATTGCCGATTGGCGATGCCTTGGTGGCACAGCGGGCAGCAGCAGGAGGGCAGTACTGTTGCGGAGGGCCGCCGCAGAGCGCATCGGCGGCAGGGCTGGGGGCACACGGAAGGAGCGCAGGCGGCCGGCTCAGCCGGCAGCTCAGCCGCCACCCTGGCGCCAGCTCAGCTCACCTCGTGCTCCACCGACAGCGCCCGCATCAGCGGCACGCCCCACGCAACCATGGTGGACCCCAGGCCCGACAGCATGAGCAGCGGCAGGCGGCCGCCGGCACGGCCCGGGCTGTCGGGCGCGGTCGCGGCCCCGCCGCTGGCGGCATTAGGGTCGGATCCAAAGGGTCCAAAGCGATAGTAGGCATGCTGCACGTCGCCGGTCTGCGCGCGAGGGAGGTGGGGCGTGGCAGCGGCAGGGTGGGCAGCAGGAGGGCAGGCGGCCGCGGCGAACGGCCGGCATGCGCTGCTTTCCCGTCGCTTGAACACAGCCGTCGGTCGTCCGCACACAACACGCCCACATACACCCCACAAGCCCGACCCGCCCACCCACCCACCCGCAGCTTCTTCAGGCGCCCCATGAAGCGGTTGGGGTAGGTCCACAGGAAGGTGCTGGGGGGGCAGTGCTGCAGCGGGGAACAGCGTGCAAGGCACAGCTGGAGTGCGGCTCGTGCTGCGTGTGGCCTGGAGGGCAGCGCTGCAAATGCAGGCAGGCAGGCAGGCGGGCGGGCAGGAAGGCAGGAAAGGCAGCAGGGGAGGCAGCAGGGGAGGCAGCAGGGGGGTAGAAAACAGGCAAGGGAGGCCAGCGAGGCGGGCCAGGCGCACCAGTGCCGGGTTGAACTTGGCGGCGTGCGGCGGGAACAGCTCCCTGAGCTCCTCATCATCCATGGCTGGATCCTGCGCTTGGGGAGGGGAACGGGCACCGCACTGCTGGCGCTTACGGCGCAAAATCCTTGCATGGCGCGCCGCAGCGAGGGGACTGCCTGCGCTCAAGGCGGGACCTGCAGGCTGGCAGGGCTGCGCCAGGGCTGCGCCAGGGGCCCACCTGCCAGCCGTGGGCGCCGATGCCGCCCGCCACCTTGACCATCGCCGCCTGCCGATCCTTGCGCCGCGTCGCCGCCGCGCGCTGCATCTTGTCGGCCGCGATGCGCAGCAGGCGGCCGCCGCCGTACCCGCCGAACAGGTCCTTGTGCTGCGGCTGGAGATGGAGGTGGGGTAAGCTGTGGATGGAGCATTGTGCGTTTGTGGGTGTGAATGAGCACCACACGCCTGAACCGTCAACAAACCCGGCCTTGCACCCCCCGCCGCCACATACCTGCTCGTCCAAAACACACCCACCTTGGCGGGGTCCACCTCGCCCAGCTTGTCGGCTATCGCCCGCATGATGCCGCCCTCACCCGCCTTGCCAATCTGTGGCGGCGGTGCCGCCTGCGTCAAGCCGCAACAACAACACACGCTTGGCGCGGCACTACGAGCCGGCACATACCAGGCTCTTCTGGCCACAAGACTGCCTGGCTGGCTGGCGCACGGCCGGCGGGTCCGGAAACGGGCAACGCCGCGCCCCAGCACGCAGGCACTCGGTCCTGTGCCGCTCCGCCACGCAGGCGCCTGTACCGCAGCGCGCGCCCCGCCCACCAGCGTGCCCCCCGCCTCCTCCGCCGCCTCCTCCAGCTTGAACGAGCTGCCTTCCACCACCAGCTCCAGCTCCTCAGATCCGAGCACCTCCACTTCCAGCGCCTCCCCAGCCACCGCCCGCTCCAGCTTGTCGGCAGTGACGCGCAGCAGGCGGCCGCCGAAGTACCGCCCGTACTGGTCCTTGTCGTCCTGCACGCCGCACCGGAGGCGTGCCAGCGCATGTGTTGTGTATGTAAGGATGCGGTGGCGGGGTGGTGGGTGTGCACGTGTTTGCGGGTGTTTGGGTTCCATCCAGCCACAGAGCGCAACCGCGACGCAAGCGGTGCTGGCCTGGCGACGTGAACACTTGTGCGGCAGCGGCCTGCCCCTCCCTTCCAGGACCCAACGCCCGGGGCTGCCCACGCACCTCTGCGGGCTTGCCCAGCGTGGATGCCACCAGGCGCAGCAGGCGGCCGCGGCCCCAGCACCCAAACCCATCCACCTTCTTCGCAGGTTGGCCTGGCTGCTGCTGCACGCCACCCAGGGGCGCAAACACGTCAGCCGCACGCCCTGCCGACGCCATGCCAGAACAGCACAGCGCAGGCAGCAGCGGTCACCCTCCTAGTGCACCCCTGCTTGATTCTATCTCTGCTGGCCGTCCGACGCACCTCCTCTGCAGCCGTACCGATCACCTCCACCTCCTCCTCCTCCTCCTCCTCGTCTGGTTGGTCCATGGCGCACAGGCAATCCACCACGTCGATCGTGCGCAGCGACACATCCGTGGCGGAAGAGGCGGCGGGGGAGAGCAGCGCCCCAAACATCCGCTCCTCCATCACCGCCACCTGCGCCTGCGCCACCGCCAGCTCACCCGCCTGTGGCGCGGCGGCGAGGTGGGGCGGGTGCGGTTGGGGTTGGGGGGCGTTGACGAGGGGTTGGTGCTTCTCGTGGCCCCTGAGCGGAGCAGGCTCAGAACGGCGCGGCACACACGTGCGACACCTACGACTGCTGCAGCTCCCCTGCCGGCCCCCGTACCTTGGTCTCCCAACCCTCCACCCGCAGCTGCATGCGCTGCAGCTGCGTCCTCAGGTCCGCCACCTGTGCCTCCCGCTGCTTCACCAGCTCCAGCCCCTGCTCCAGCGCCTGGTGGCTGGCGGCTGCAGACAGCAGAGCGGTGGCAGGGTGGTTCCAGGGGCGCGGGCGGCGGGGAGCGAGGCCAACCAAGCGAGGCACGCAGCCAGGATGCCTGGTCCACCAGCCTGCAATTCTGCTCTCCTGCTCACCCAGCTTCTTGTCCTGGTTCTGGAGCAGCACCTTCCCGGGGTACCACTTGCCGGCACCCAGCTTCTCGTACTGCGCAGTGCGCGGCAGGGACGGCAAGGGAAGGCAAGCCGGCGATGGGCAGGACCTCAGCAGGTGACGAGGGCGGGAAGGCAGCCTGAGACCAGAACTCCAGGCACAACACATTTTCGCACAAATAGGGCTGGACGCAATGAACGCGAAGCAGCGACAGCGGCGGCAGCCACCGCGGGCGGCGGCGGCGGCGGCCACGGCGGGCGGCGGCACCTGCGTCTGCTCCTTGTCCAGCGCCTTCTGGGCATCCTCCTGCAGCTGCCTCACCACGGCCAGGCGCCGCTGCAGGGAGCCCTCGCTGCGCCTGGCGTGGGCCTCCTGGGCCTCGATCTGCGCCAGGGCAGCAGGCGCAAGTGGAGGCTCGGCCACAGGCGACGAGCCTTTCCACAGCAGAGCGGCAGGCGTGCTCACAGCAGCGCGGCGGGCGTGCTCGCAGCGTCCTCGGCGCCCCACCTGCAGGCCCTGCAGCTCCGCGATGCGCTGCTGCAGCTGCGCGTACTTGTGCAGGTCCCACCCCTCCCCCAGCGGCTCGCCCTCGACCCTGCCGGGGCTGCCGCCGCCGGTGACCGCTGCCGCCGCGCGGCTGAAGGCTTCCGCCATGCCCAGGCCCAGCTTCCTCATGCCGCCCATGGCCCCCTCCATGGCCCCCACTTCGGACGTGGCTATGGAAGAGGATGTGTCAGTCTGCAGCACAGGCGCAGGCCCAACATGGGTGAGGGTGCAGCCAGGCGCTTGACGCAGCGGCGGCAGCAGCGCCGCCGTGCCGAGGCACAGGGCAGCTCTCACTTTGGTCGGCTCGCCGCCCCCATCCAGCTCCCTGGCTGAGGCGCTCATGCCTGGTTTCCCTGCGACCTGCGAAGGCGGGGGAGAGCTCCAAGTCGAAGGGTTTTGGCAATTGGCCTTAGTGCAGGCCCTGGATTGCACTGTTACCCCAAAGCACCCTGAGAATCACCTGCAAGTTGGCTACTCTGCTCCCGAGAGCTCAGGGCAAGGGGCGGGCCGCGCCTCAACTGCTGAGTGCGTCTTTCAAGAGGCTGCAGCAAGCTGCAATGAATCACACCGGATAAGCCGGGTTTTGCAGTGTCGTTCTCTCTGAGAGGCCTCCTCGGCTCCAGCTGGCACCGACACCACTGATGAAAACTTTGCCTTTCGACGCCTCTTTCGATGCGTTGCCGTTGCGTGCATTGAGTGCAGCTCACATAGCAACAAGCAGCCTGCAAATGGCGGGACAGTAGCCCATCGCCAAGCGCTCTGAGGAGCAGTATGGTTAGCAAGAGGTGGAAGCTGTCGCACCTGACCGCGTTCTCCCACGCCCAGGAGCACCTGCGGGTCCAGACTATCCATGGCGCTATAGGTGCGCCTCGATCCGGCTTCCCCGCAGGGCGCCTGCACCCGTGGCGGCCTGTACATCTCATGCAGGGTCGGGGGAGCGGCCGCAGTGCGGCGCCAGACAGGGCCTTGCCCGCCGCCGGCCTGCCGCCAGCCGGCGCCGCCACCGACCTGCCGGCGTCCGCCTGCTGAGCCTCCCCTCGCTGCTTGTGCATGCAGTCACCATCATCGGCGTGTGTGTCGCGCTGGTGCTGTTCATCTCGGAGGTGCAGCAGTGCATGGTGGTCAAGCGGGTGCAGGACGTGCGGCCAGCAGCTCCCGCGCGGTGCTGTCGACGCCGTGCGCCGCTGCAGCCTGTGTGCTGCCTGCCGTCTGTGGCTGTATGCGTCCTGCTTCCCCTCAGGGATCCACCTGCAGCCAGAAGATCCAAACGATTCCTTTGCCAAACCGCAAATCACCGAGCATGCGCCAAACCCTACCAATCCACCACCCGGGCTGGGCGTGCCGCAGATGCGGGTGGACACGTCTCGGCGGGAGGAGCTGCACGTCTCCTTCAACGTCACCTTCCCGGCGCTGCCCTGCGAAGCGCTGCTCATGGACGCGGGAGACGTGTCGGGCAAGTGGCAGACGGAGAGCCGCATGAAGGTGGCCAAGTGAGTGGGCGGGAGCGGGAGCTGGAAGGGCTGGCTGGCTGGGAGGGCGCAGGGTTGCACTCCCAGAATGCCAGGGGAGGTTGAAGGGCCAGTCGGGTAGCCCGCGGCCTGCTGTGCTGGCCTGCCGGCTGGCCTGTGTGTCGCCCTGGGGCGGGTCCCTGCAGCCTGCTGTGCCTGCTGTGCCTGCTGTGCCCGCTGAGCCGGCTTCCTTCCTGGCGCAGGAACGGCGAGGTGCACAAGCACTCTGTGGACATCAGCGGGCGATGGCTGCGCCTGGCTGAGTACACCGCGCCATCCGAGGGCGAGTGGGACAACCCCTTTGTGCTGCGCATCGACGAAAAGGCGAGGCGGGCGGAGGGAGCGGGGCGCCGCAGCTGCAGCCGCCTGCAGGCGGGCAGCGCAGCGCAGCGGCAGGGTGCCACCCCGGACTTGGCTGGGCCGCAGCAGCACCCGCCCGCTCCGCCTTGCGCGCCTCCCGTCAGGCGCCTGTATGCGCTACCACCGGCCCCACCCCTGCCTGCCTGCCTGCCTGCCTGTCTGCCTGCCTGCCTGCAGGAGATGAACGAGATTGGCGCGGCGCTGAAGCGCCACGAGGGCTGCAACATCCACGGCTGGCTGGAGGTTCAGCGCGTGGCGGGCAACGTCCACTTTGCGGTGCGCCCCGAGGCGCTGTTTCTGTCCATGAACGCAGAAGCAATCATGCAGGTGGGAGGGGCTGCGGGGAGCAGTCTGCAGGAGGTGGTGGGTGTCTGTGCCTGTATGTGTGTGGCGGGGGGTTGGGGGTGGGGCGGGGCACGGGCTGAGTCGTTGGCTGACGGGTGAGGTGGGGTGGGATGGAGCTACAGGGCTCAGCACAGCATTGCAGCAGGGGATGCGTGGCGGCAAGGCCGGGGAGTGTGGCCCAGCCCGCCTGCCGCTGCCTGCGCTCAGCGCTTGCGCTGGCCTGCTGGCCGACACCCCTCACGCAGGCATTGAGACAACGGCAAATACTGCTGCACGGGCTGGGGGCAGACGTGAGTGGCCGGCCCTGCTGCCAGCCTGCCTCCACTGCACGCCTCTTGCCTGCCGCCTGCCACGCTCCCCTTGCCGGCTCAACATCACACCAACCACCAACATCACCACCCCACCCACCCACACCCCTCTGCACCCCTGCAGCTGCACCCCGATGCCTCCAAGCTCAACATCAGCCACGTCATACACGAGCTGCGC